TTTCATCTCAGAGCATGAAAACAAAGGCACATCAATCAGAAGGCTGCAGGGCAAGAGAGCATCAGCACTTATGGAAAGGTACAACCTGAGACTGGCAGCATAATAAGGCTCTTTGTTGGAGCTTTGAGGGAAAAAGACAGCTTTGATTTCAAGTTTTATACACTTCAGAACGCCCTGCACATGCCTGTCATTGCTTCCAATGCTCAGGCTGGAGTATTACAGACACAATTGACCCTGGTTTGAAAAGAGTTGAATCATTTCTTGGGGTTACCGATCACACAATTTAGACACGTCTGTATGTTTGCAAGGCGAAAGAAGGTGAAATTACTTGGTGCGTGTGTTAATGTGCTCTGTCAAGTGAAGGCCACGAAATGTATCTGATATAGAACCGCCATTGTTTCACACAGCAGCACTCAGATTATGTTAAACCAGGGCTTGAGATACAATAGTAAGTAAAAACAGTAAAATTATAGCAGCATGAGTAAGACAGAGAAGGCAGAGAGAGTGTGAGAACCATCTCTGGATCACAGCTCTGCGGGGTGGCAGCGTGTGCGTACATTAGTTCCTCACTCTGCTGACAGATATCGCAAAACCTGACAAGCTGCAGCCTCCTCTGCCCCTACTTATTCTCACCCTCCTCTGTTTTCTCACACCATCCTCCCCCCATCCACTGCTCCTCAGGTGTTGAGACGCCATGCTCTGTCGCTGGCTAATTATCCGTGTCGCTCTGGGAGGGGATGAGAGTCCCAAGCGGAAGTGACAGCTGTCTTTGCCACTCTGCAAACCGCCATAGGGCTGTAAGGGCCCTCCCCTCCCCGGTCACAATAAACCCAGGACTGTACTTCTTCTCTTGTTATTCTGCTACTAGCTCTCTCCCTTTACATGCATCTTTTTGTTCTCTTCATGGCCGAACTTCCTGTCAGCAAGTTTTTCAAGTCTACACTCCTACCATTTCTCTTTTTATATATAATGCTGTCAGTTTAAGACTGCACACAGATGATGACTCAAACTCATATTACAGAAAATGGCTACATCTTAAAATGTGTATGTTTTAACATGAAGTCCATTTCAAGTGAGATGTAAGTTGAAAACAAATAAGATTACCATTGTCTAAAAGATGATACAGTGGTTAGTTGATACTGCTGAATCAGACCTGCAGTGAAACATGTGCCTTAGGATATATGAGTAAATTAGAGAGTAGTAGTTTCAGTTTCATAGCCTATTATCATAGATTAACAAGGCTAAAGGCCTTTACATTTCGGGGGCGTGACTAATAAACAATTGATGTGAATTTGCAACAGCTGTAACACTTGTTTAATAATTAGATTCGTGAGTGTGTTGCGAATTTGCGACAGCTATCCTACTGACCCAGAGGAGCAGCTGGCAGTCTGTCTGAGGCGTGTTTTTGTATGACCTAAGCTCCTGTAAGCTATTTTATTGCATTTCCCTTTAGCTAAATGTTGTGAGTGAATTTAAGTTCCCTCTGGTAAACAGTATGCAGTGTACAGTACATGTCTAGGGCTTTTACTGTGAAAGGAAAGAATAAAAAGACTGGATTTCGTATGCCTTGCCTCTGTCATGATGGAAAGGAGTAATAGTTTGCCATCTTGGTTTGAACTACAGATACTCCATGTTTTGTGCCATATTCCTCATTATTTCCTGTGCTATAGATCAGAAATATTACTAAAGTTTTTAAAATGCTTAAAGGGAAGCAAATGTGCGTACCAAATGTCATGGTAACTAATCCAGTAGATCTTTTTTCCTTCAACAGCAAATGCATGTGGTTACGTTTAGCCAATATACACACAGGTTTAGGTTAAGGCAACAAAAACACGTGGTTGAGTTCAGTAAAAAAGAAAAGGGTTTGGCTTTATGATCTTATGGGAAGCGAACCCAAACACAGCTTCCTGGGTGAAATCCATCCACCACCACTCCCACCCACCCTCCCTTACACAGACTTTCACTGCTTTAACTTTCATTGTTGTCCTACCTCGTTTTCCCCTGTCACTGCTGGGTGTAATTAAACAATAACGACAACCGACCACGTATCATGCCGACGTGAAAGGACAGCTTTTTCATTGATGTCTGACGCTGCAAGTCACCGCTCTACTGTTGGATTTCGACGACTTTGGAGTGAGACCAAGTTCGCTCAGAACCTTGAATGTCTGTAGAAATATGTGCATGGCTGCTACCCCAAAATTTGTTACATAGTGTGGACTGACCAGCTGACTGACACCAAAACAGCCAGTGACACTTTAGTGCAAGCCTTTAGGGGCCTCACAAGACATGAGCTTAAAAAATGTTAATATATATTATTAATTTTAACATCACATTTGCACTGTCACCATAACCAATCGGGTCAGGGGCGTCTGGGAAGTTTCCCGTACATAGATATGATGATCAGCATACTGTAGTGTAGAACAGAATATATCTAAATTTGTAATTCCTCAGGCAGTTAGAGGAGACCACAAGCTGGTAAGAAACCCCTTTGCTATTGTGGAGGAGGGTGGATGACTGTGTCCTGAGGTAGCGGGAAGAGAAGATGTGGTGCTGGAGACAACTGGAGGACAAGTGCTGATATGAGACAGGATGTCTGCAGGTTTTTAATTAAAAGGACTGATCTCCCCGTGTTGCCGCTGTGCACTCAGGCCTACCTGGCTGATAACCTAGCTTTATCTTGACTGATTGCTGACATATTATCTGATAACGCTGATTTTCATATTCTGTTTACTGATTAGGAGGGCTCTCCATTTACAATTTGTTGCTGTCCATTGATGGGAAGGTTCTGCATTACTGTTAGACCAAAAGGCAGAGCTGATGCCACAATGAAAAACAGTTCTGACTCTACCAGCAGCAACAGGTGAGTCATCAGTTATCAGGAAGACATGAGTCACTGTTTCTGGATAAAATGTGTCTGATTTACACGGACATGCAGTCTGATATGTCTGAATTTACTCTTTGTAAAACATTAAACCTTGTTAGGAAAAAAAAACTGTAAATGCAGCTGTATAGTAATCACAATCACAACCGCACTACCCCAAAATGGTCCCCTGTGAACATTTTGCAGCGTGTGGAAAGAGAAAAGACTGAACGTCTTTGTTCAGAGATGGCACCTCAGTGGAGCATCTGCGGGATCTTGACGAGAAAAGAGTCTGGCTGAAGGGGGGGATGTGTGAGCATCGCCGATTTGTCTAAGCAGGACAGCAAAGGGAAGATGCCAACCAAAGTGACTACTCAGTGAAACCACCAGAGAGCCCGAATGTTGCCAATTAGAGGCAATTATGTGATGCAAACCAACAGCTTGACTCCCGCCAAAACCAAGCTCCCGTTGTGGCTAATCTGTCTGTCGGCGAAAACGCTAAACATATCAACAATCCTGTCCACTTTAAGAACCACAGCAGGCCATTCAACGATATTAAGCCCCTCTCCGAAGCCTGGGTGGGGAGAGTGAAGAGCAGGAAATGTAAATAGAGACAAGCCTGAGGGAATCTGTGGAAGCACAGCCAACATAACGATCTGTCAATTTGATAGCATGTGGGAGAGTAAGGGATGGAGAGAAATGTTGCCTTTTTCTATTCATTAATAGTCACAGAATGGGGATTTATGGATGTTCAGCATCTGCCATTAACTGGCCAATTTAAGACAGCCATAAAAGAGAGTGGGATGTGTACACTGGGTTGTGTTTGGTGGGGAGAGGGAATAGTATTGTAATAGCCGAGCCTGATATATCCACTTGGCTTCAATTTCGACCTTCCATTACATTTTCTCTTAGGCTGAACATTTAATTTCGTGATGAATAGGGACCAATATCAGCCCTAATGGAATAGCACTGCACTCTTATATAAAAGTACATATACCAATAAAATCTCTCAATAAAGTCTGGCCATGCTGTGGCATAAAAACCCATATGCACACATCACAGATATGGACTTTATTCATCTGCTGGAAAGTATTACCCGTAGCCTTGGCTGATGTCTCTTTGTGAGTCTTGTGCAGTTCTTAAAACATTTCTGATGGTATATTCCCAATGGAGACAGACAGCAGTGATTCAATACACCGTGACACCAATTAGTGGGGTAAATAATGGCAAGGCGAGCTGAAGCTTTCCCACTGCAGCATCTTCCCCACCTCACTGATCTCCCGGGCCTGTTCTTATCAAAGCAGCTTTTCTTCACAGCCTGAAATTTAAGATCAAAGGGCAGCTCTAACTCATCAATGCCCTTACCTCTTCCCCACAGCAATGGATACAGTGCTCTATAACAAGCGCGCGCATTACCATCAGCCTGTCTGCTCCCGCTTCACACCACCCACTGGCAGAAAAGAATTGACAGCAAATCTCGTCTTGTACACAGTTATTTTCCTGGGCAGCCAGCGTGAAGCCAGAGCAGCTCTGCGATATCACGGTGTCGAGGAAATGTCCATGGCAGAACTGGACCTGTCTGAACTCCTCTTATTGCACCTTGCCGGCGTGACAATCAATAGTCTTACATTTGTAGATGAAACCATATGGTCTGTCTGACTGGAAGGCACAGTGTGTATATATATATGTATGTGTGTGTCTACTGGCATGAGCACTTCTGTTTGTGATGACGAGCGACAAGCCCGTTATCACTCTGTAGTCGGTGAGCTGCAGCAGGAAAGAGATGCACAAACTATAGAGATGCTGTCAAGCCCTCGGGCTGAGACAGCACTCTGCAAGGGGGAGAGATAGCTTATCTGTGTGTGGCCAAAGGTGATCGAAAACAGTGTGTGGGCAGTGAAGCCGCGATTGGGCTGCCGATCACAACTAGAGCGTGCAGCACAATGGACAACAAGGCATTTTCATTCAACAAATAATCTAAAAAAGAATAAAACATTAAACAGCAGACGATTCCTGCCCCAAAGAATCTCACATTAAATTTGAATGAGAGACACAAAGCTGAGTGCTGTGCACTGACTGTGGCAGTTCTGCCTGTAGCTTTGAGAAAATAACAGGATCAGAGAGTCAGATCTACGCTTACCCGTGCAGCTCCTTGAGAGAAACTGACATCTTGAGGTTGTGTCCCAGCACATGGAGGGCTGTGAGGATGTCAGCCCATTGCACCATCTCACCCAGAGGACCCCCCTTCAGCACTTTGGGACTGAAGACATCCCCAGACTCCTCTGTCAGAAAGCCCACATGAACCAGAATCTGGAACACCAAAAGGAAAGCAGTTAAATCACAGCAAGAAATGAGTTTTGTTGATGCAGTGTTTGCGTTTTTGTTAAACCACTTCTGCACTGTTATTATAAAGAGCAAGTCATTATTTCCATTACTTTTTTGTTTTCATATTCAGACAACCTCCACTCCTGCGTGGTGAATAATTGAGATTTTTGAGAGCAATTCTCACAAATGCTTCAAAAGGATTCGCATATGAATAAATTCAGATATTTGGCATGGATCAATGGTGTCAAATTTTTAAATACAATCGAGCCTCTAATGAAAGAGAGAAAGCGGAGTGGCAGTGTAGTCACACCAACGCAACTCACAACGCAATACAATCAGCTGTGCACAGAGTTGAAATGAAAATTGACCTGCCGAGGGCTAATTGATATGCAGAACGATACACGAACGCTTTAATTGCTGATGGGGAAGGATGGAATTTCCAGGCTGTTAAATATGTAATGAAATTAGAGGTTTTTTTTAAACAGATGGCAGCATTTAATATTTTTACTCTCAATTACTTTTGTCTCAAAAAAACTTTCAATTATATTCATCTACTAGAGCACACATTTATTCCATTGCTTGTTAAGAGGTGTTTCCTCTTACAGTCGACATCAACATGAACCCCTTCAACACCTGTCTGGACAGACACACCAGTCGTCATGCTGTCCTTAGTCTTCTAATTGGCAAACCGAAGACAGATGTGTTTCCAAATTTCCCCTGAACTATCCCTAAAATCTGTCCGTGAACAGAACTCAAGATTCATTTTTCACTTTATATCAAGATGGTTTAAGAAATGTCAATGAGGTTATGAGAAGTGTCAAGTTACATCAGCATCTAGACTTTCCCTGTGTCTAACTGGCTGGCCCAGGATGTATCTGACTGGGCTAAATTGGTTTTTAAATGGGTGCTTTTCAGACTTGAAGCTGGGGTAGGCAGAAATCTGGAAAGCAAAAGCAGGCCCCCCTCTTCCCTCTCTGTCCTAAGCCCCTCCCACCAGACAACTATGGGATATGCACACGCTTCATGCAGTAACAAAGTGTTTCAAAGTGTTGTGCGCAGCAAATTCATTCAACCCGGCGTTCTCTCTCTGTTAATCAGAGCACAAATGAGATGAGAATCACCTAGCCACCCCACTGTTCCTCTGCCTTGCTCCCTGCCTGGGCAGCAGCTCCTCAAATGGACCTGCGGCTGGCAACTGTAGCGGCTCAAATTCAGCCAGCGCACCCCCTAGTGCCTGGTGTCACAGCAGGCTAGTGGCCAGAGGCAGCGCAGGATCTAAAAGCCCGTACACATGCATGTAACCGCCTGGAAACTGCTAGGTCAGGCACTGGGTGCTCCTTTTGGGCCCTTTTTTGGGGCCGTACACATGCTGCATTTCTTGTGCTCTCAAATTCATTGCATGTCATGTGACGAGGAACAACCAATCACAGCCGACATATATCTTTCCCTTCTTCCATAAATGTCTGTGGTAAATAAGGAAGAGTTGATCATTTTAGTGCAGGGCTGCTTGTTAAGGTTGCTTAGCAACCGCAGAAACAACCTGCCGCTGCACTCTTGAAAACTGGCACAAAAAAGACACAAAAGTAATGCCTAAAGATGCGGCATGTGCACGGGCCTTTTGAGCCAGCTTTCAAGAGCACAGCAGTAGGCTGTGTCTCTGGTTGCTAAGCAATTATAACAAGTACGGTATCAAAACCTGTTTACCTGGAATCCTGAGTGCAGAGCTGATCTTCTTCCAGGTGCTGTTTATAAATGTGTAGGCCTATCATCTGTGGGACAGATGAAAAGCTCTGGCAGCCCTGCACTAACATGATCAGCTTTTCCATATTCATAACAGACTGATATTTACAGAAGAAGAGAGAGATATCTGTCGGCTGTGATTGGTTGTTCCTCATCGCAAGATGTGGTGTGTGCTGCTGCATTCCAAAGGTTTAACTCTGTTTAGCTCGGGGCACAGCCGTTGTGCCCTGACAAGGAGGCACTGCTCTGGCGTATGAGCACGCCTGCCATGTGTCTACATTGAAAGCAATTAATTTGAGGGCGCAAAAAAGCATGTGTATGGCCCCTAACTTGTGTAATGGCAGTAACAGAAAGTTTGCTCATCCAGCAGGGGCTTGGAGCTGTTGTGTTTGTCTTAGCTGGGTTTGTTTTGCTGCGGCCACTGACTGGGGGATCCACCTCTGGAGCCTCTGCCCACTCTCCTCCCAGTGAAGCAGTCTGTAGCAGCGAGGAGTGAGACGGAGAACATACAGTGATTTACGGCTCTATCTAACATTAGCTACATGAAGATAAACTTTGAGCTGCAGCTATGGGCTTTTGATTCCAGTTTGAAGAAGGCGAAACACTTTCACTCCATCTCAAAAACACTTTGCCGATATTGACAGGTTTTATTTTGTTTATTGTCAGACTCTCTTTTAGACTCTTTTCAATAAGTCCATCTTCCTTTTTTTGGCTTGCCAACGCAGAAATAGAGAGCAACTTTCTCTGTGGGATTCTCCACCACTGACTCAGGCTTTCACCCAATGGACGTGCACACGCGTCTGCATTTGTAGAAGAGCCAATAGGAATGCTGTCTCTCTGAAATGACCTGTGATTGGCCAGAGCCTCCTGTCACAGATTAGACTTTCTAAAGCCTGAAAATAGAGCCAAGAGGAGGTACAGAAGTCTAGAGTTCTCTCAGTCCACTTGAATTACAGAATGCTCAAAGGTTATTATTGGATTTTTGCCCAATGACTCTAAAATGAAACTGAACTCTAAATGGCTCAATACTAGCGTTTCTCAGTTCTTATATGATACCAGTTATGGAATTTACAGAGTAAAGACTGTGAGAAAACTCTAAGAAAACTAAAGTCCAAATGAAATCACATTCAGTCATCCCTTTCGCAGGTGTTTGACTGACAGCAGCTGGAAGGCTGAAAACAACTCTAGTGTCGAAGTCTGTTTCCCCCTCGAATAGTGTCTCACTCCTGTTAAAAATTTCCCTGTACTGGCACCAGCAGGGGAACCACAGGCAAAGTAAACAAACTTTCACTGTAGCTTAAGAGCCACAGGCAGACAGTATGTCATTAGCAGCGATACTGAAGAGTGGGGACGGTATCGGCATCTCAATGAACTGAGCAACATTTGCAGGTATGTTTACAGTACATGACGTTAGCAGTGCACATTTTCCCGGTGAATGTTTGTTCGTCATCGTGTTCAAGTCATTGTGCCTCACACGAATACTGATGATTCATAACTCAATCACATAGATACCGAGTAAAGAATATTAGAGAATGAAGGAGGAGATGAATATGGGTTGTTCACTCAAACACTGGAAGCGCAGTGCAGACTAAGAACAGCAGGATGGAACAGGAAGCAGGAAAAAACAGAGACAGGTTGGCCAGAGATGGCCCATAAAACATTTCTCTGTTTCTGTTTTCTTAACAGCACTCTGTGTTTCAGCGACGGCAGCCAAGCCTGCTGCTTAATGGACAGTAACTATTACTGTCAAACACATCATTACAGTAAACAAAGCCCTCTCCCCAGTGGGGAAGAAGCAGGCATTTTGGAACAGTGAATTGTCATTAACAGAACAGGCTTTGATTTATCCAACTGCAAAACTGGCCAATGAAAGAAAGTGATGAAAAACAACACTGCATACACACATACACACACACACGCACACACGCTCGTACACACACACACACCGCAGAACGCCAGGATACTGTCAGCTCGTTTACAAAAAGCAAAACACTACAAATTAATGTCTTTTATTCCTCGTGTTTCATTTAAGCTTTTAGAGAATTTAGCCGCTTCTCAGCTTCAGAGGGATTTGTGGCAAGCTGTCCACATGTTCTAAATTAAACGATTTAGAGAAAATGAGATCTTCAATCCTCAGCCTCTTCACTGTGATGAGAAAATTTGTAATGACACTGTGCTTTATTAACGTGATACGCTTTACAGACAGGCATGTGGCTCAGATGTCAGAGCTGAATGAGGCTTCAGGCAAAACATGACATGCCTTGGGTAAGGTTGTGTTTTATATATATATACACATACATATATATGCAAAGATGCTCCTGAGACAGTTCAGCACATAATAGCAGGGTGTAAGACGCAGGCAGGAGCAGCGTACATAGGACGCCATAATCAAGTGGGCTGGAAGTCCCAAGGTCAGAATCGAAGACACCTCCTAAGGTGGTTGAAAATGACTGAGCTAAGATCTTGTGGGACTTCCAGATCCAGACTGACAAACTAGTGATGGCTAACCAACTGGTAACAGATGTAGGAATCCTGGGCGAAAGCAACATCAGGAAGAAGGAACGCAAGAAGTTCGAAAAATACCAAGGGCTGAAAGAGGAGCTAGAAAAGATGTGGGGAGTAAAGGCAACAGTGGTGCTAGCAGTAATTGGAGCACTCGGGGCTGTGACCCACAAACTGGGAGTATGGCTCCAGCAATCAAATCCAAGATGGCGATGGCTAAAATGACAAACTCAAGGCTTCAAAATGAACGTCCACAAACCAATGCCCTACATCGCAATGGCTACGTCCATTATTTTAAAGTTGTATTCACACTGGGCGCAAATAAAACAATTCACACAAGTGAATTACATGTAAAGTCAATGTAAAGATGTGATTAGACATGAATTCTAGCTGGGTGGCACAATGAATGCAATGGACACGATGCATATGACAAGAAATACGTGGTTTAAGCAGCACGAATGAAGCAGTAGTAGTAATTTAATTTTGCATCATATGCTTAATCGTGAGAGTTGAAAAATCTTAACTTTAGCAACCGATTTGCACCGTGATAACCAATCAGCACTGAGATCCTTGAGGGACATATGATGCCGAAGATGTACTGGCGGAAGTTCATTCATCACTTCAGAGATTTCATGTGCATATGATGCAAGTTCTACGAGCGTATGAAGCAAGTAAATGCAAAATATTCTAGCATTCAAACTCACGTCAGTATTGTGACGTGAAAATTCCCATCACATTTGGTGTGAATTCAACATTATATAGTCTATAGTGATGCTCTCTTTTTTCAAATCCCACAACTCCAGTGGGTAAGGCAGGCATTTGTTAAAGGCGCTGTATGTAAGAATGTGGCCAAAACGGTTACTGCACTCAAATTCAAAATACTGCCGCGAGTTGTGTCCGCCCCCCCTCCCCTACAGATTTGAGGTTGCTGGACAGCGGCGTGCTGGAGACTGATTTGTTTGCCCACGGGCGGCTGCCGTGGCAGGGCTGTGTCGCCGTGTCCTTGATCTTTGGTTTTCCAGCGGACCATTCGAGCAAGTCCGGCTTCTCTGAGGCTAAGGCTGCTGTCGGGATACAGCTGAGGAGGAGCCGGCTGCTTATGCTATGTACCGGGACACTGCTAATGCTGCTTGTCGTGTTGCTCGGTCGTAACTGTAACTGATGCTGAGACTCTACTGACTGCGTGACTGGTAGACGGCGGTGGGTGGCGCAACAGGCCAAAACGCAAATTCAAAACATAAACATGATTTGCGGACTGTAAAAATGTTTTTTAAATGCAAATATTCTGGCTGTATTATTGTTGTCGGTGAGATCAGTATGTTATATGAACATTATTCCTTAGTCTCTGTGACATATTAGGAGGATTTTACGACTATTTGCTTTAGATTTCTTACATATAGCTCCTTTAAATGTGTTTGTTAATTGTTAAAAAGATTACATCACTGTGACATCACTGGTGTTTTCTTTTAAACTTTAGAAAGCTCCTTCAGAGCCATGTAAGACATTATACAAGCATTTTTATTGGTTGATTAGTGCGTCTTGAGACCAGTAAACCAGTGAACTCAGTGTGTAAAATGGTTGGATTGTCCCTTTAATGGACAGTAGAGATACTGATTCTGTACATCGTCTGATTAATTCTCTTGATCATACACTACTTTTCACAGGTCTCTTTCTGTCTTTCGAATTACTGTACACTGTCATTTACTGCTCACCTATTGCTTGGGTATGAAAACAGTGTTGCTACAAGTTTTGCGTGCCAAGATTTTACAGTGTTAGTCATATGTTCGTCAGTCTAAATGCCCCCTGGATGTCAGGCAGTGACAAGGAGCCTATGTTGTAAGTGTAGAGTGAATAACATAGAAAAAAAAGCTGCACAAATTGTGGTGAAGTGATTTCAGACTATTTCTTACTCTTATAATCTCTGCGGGTCTGGAGGAAAAGTGAGCTGATTGATTGGTTGAGCGTTTAACACCGGGTTATTTTTACCAGTATATTCAGGACAAAAAAAACTGAGCAGCTCAAAGCGAAAAAAGACTGCTGGCACCCCACTGGCAGCAAAGACGAGAACATTTCAACACCAAACAAATCATCATGTGTCATCAACATATCAAACAGCCACAAAGAGGCAAAAATAACTCAGCAATCAAGGGATGAAAGTGTAGCAGTTTGGAGAGTGGGAATTTGTGCACAATATAGCATTATTTCAAGTAAGATAAATCTCAGTGATATACTTTGAAAATTTCCAGTTTATTCCCACTGTAACACTTTTTATGGGTTAATTCCTCACAAGTTATAGCATCTTGTAAAGGTTTAAACATATTCCTGGAAGGGATCTAATGTCATTTCATCAGACGTCAGCAGGCAGCACTCTTTGACACTCAGTGGAAATGTCCCTGTAAATGTCAGTGGTGAAAGTGCACTATAGCCAATCAATGTCTGCGAGGAGTGACTCTGCATCATTATCTACTTATGTCTGTGGCTCAACACAGAGAGGAGCTGAAGATAAAAGAAGTTAGTCCAACAAACTCACAGCTGTTGTGGTAATGTAGCAGCTTAGCATGTGGGCATTAAAGGACTGTCTAGCTTTCTGATGTTTGATCCAAAACATCCTGTGCTAAGAGTTTTTTTCCCCCCCTCCTTTAAAGCCTAAACAGATTGACTCACATCAAATTAGGAGCTGAGGAACATGTTTCCAGAGTTACAGAAAATAACAAGAAAGAAAAAACCCGTTGAAACTGAGAAAAGCACTTTTTTACTGGCTCGTCATCTGCAGTCTGTTTGCAACCGCAACGCTTTGAAAAGATGAAACCACAACACAGACTTGTTCTCTTATCCTACACTTTCATCCTCCAGCGTGTGCAGAAGCATATTCCTGTGTGCCTTATACTCACCCTTTTCTGCTCTCTCCAGTGGTTGCGGAGCTTGTCATCCAGCCGTCGAGCAGCGGTGGCCCACTGTGCTGCCATCCTGCGTATGCGTCTCTTCATGAAGCTCAGTGATTCCTTCCCCGTGCCCACCTGCTCCAGCAGAGCTCCGATGTCGGACTGGAAAACAGCCTGGATGACAGGAGCAATAAAAATCACTGGAAAGGATCAGAAGTGTTAAGAACTTCAGATGTTTTTATAAGCCAGTGCTTCATTTCTTTATGTGGATCTCTAACAGGCTGATATTAAGATTTATAACGTGACCTGAAGCAGAGAGGGTGAGATGCTGAAAAACGTCATTATACTATTCTCTACAAGTGGAACTCTTTTTATTAGAGGAGACAGAACAGAGCACCGAGAGCCCTTCATACAGTGCTGCCAGAAAGTTTGTGAACCCTTTAGAATTTTCTCTATCTCTGCACAAATGTGATCTCAAATGTGTTCAGACCTTTATCTAAGTCCAAAGAATACAGGAAGAGGACCCAGTTAAACATTTATTCATTCATTTATTTTCTGTAACCGCTTATCCATCTGACATTGGGCGAGAGGCAGGGTACACCCTGGACAGGTCACCAGACTATCACAGGGCTGACACATAGACAATCATTCATATTCACATTCACACCTATGGTCAATTTTGAGTCACCATTTAACCTGCATGTCTTTGGACTGTGGGAGGAAGCTGGAGTACCCGGAGAAAACCCACACTGACACAGGGAGAACATGCAAACTCTGCACAGAAGCAGACTCTAATTTTATAGAGCAAACTTCTTCAACTTATCTTTGGTGGAAAGAGTATGTGAACTAGGGATGTCAGTGGTTAAGTGGTAATGGATTAACTGCTAGATTATTTTTGACCAGTAACGTATGTTGATCTACAGCAGAGATAATCAGTTTACAGCCCGTGGGCCAGATTAGGATGCTGGGCAGGGACAGGGCTAGGGGGTGGCTACTTGGGCTCAAGCCCCAGATGTTTTCTGAAAAGCCCCAAATGTGAATTTTACTTTAAAAAAAAAAAAAAAAAAAAAAAGGTCTCGTGAGTAACATGCAGTAACAGAGTCCAACAGAGAGGCAGCAGCTGCGGGAAAGTAGCCTGTGTACTGTGTAGCCTGCCTGGGCCTGCCCTGAAGAAGAAGTGTTTCCTTGTTCATTATTCTCCAGGGTAACATTTTTTTTCCATGACCTTAGGTGAAAGCGGAGCACTTCCGATTGTCAGTAAACGGCCGGTGGTAACAGCAAGTACCTGGATGCTGAACAAGAAAGACGAAAGAAGAATATGGATATTCTGAAGTTTTTTTAATTCAAATCCAGCACCAGGAGTTGTTTGAAGTTAGTGAATCTTATTTGAAAGGTGACTGACGATGTTACTTTGCTGGTTTGCTAACGTTAGCTGGCTATACGTTGTGTTATGATGAAAATGAAAGATAGCAAATTTGCAGCAAAAAACAAAAGCACCCATTTTTTCACGTGCACGTCAGCGTGCGCATTTCATTCACCATCTGGGCTAAGCCCCGATGTCCTACAATCTCAAATCCGCCTCTGATGCTGGGTTTCCCGCCGACCATTTACTCATACAAAGTGAAAATAAACTGATTCACAATGGGATTTTTTTGGGACTTTTAAGGTAAATATGCTTGAACAGGGCCTTTAAAAAGCATCAAAATAGATATCTCTGGTCCATAGGTTAATTTTGCTACTCTTATGTTTACTTCACTACACTGCACACCACCTGAGTTGGGTGGAAGCTAGCTAGCAGCACGAGGCATTTGGTAAATAGGCCTACTGCCATCGTGGGTTGGGACAGCATTACCAGCAGTAATCGCAAAATGGTGCCTCTAGCTAGCTGCCACCCGACCCGAGTGGTGCACAGTGCAAAGCGGCCAAGGCTAGCTAACCAGTGGAGAGCAAGCAGTGGGCACCAGTGGGCTGGCTGTCTGTCGGCAAAGCCAACAGAACATTAAATAAAAGGCAAGACTTTTACAACACAAAACTTTAAAAAAAAAAAACAAACAAAAAGTTAATGGAGCGCCGGAGAGGAAAGCGCCCAGTTAATGGGGGTTAGGCTATAGAAAGCAAAATTAACTGAAACCCCAAACTATGATATTGCCACAGCCATGCTTCACAGTTGGGATGAGGTGTTTATGCTGGAATGTAGTGTTTGGTTTGTGCTTCTCAATTACACCAAAAAGTTCTATTTCGGACTCATCTGTTCACAAAACATTTTCTTCCAGTAGCCCTCTAGTTCATCCATATAGCCTTTAGCAAACTTCAGATGGGCAGCAGTGTTCCTCTTGGAGAGTAGTGACTTTCACTTTGCCATCAGCGGCTGTGGCTCAGGAGGTAGAGCAGTCGTCCACCAAGTAGTGCTTCAATCCCTGGCCCTTGCAGGGACTCAAGTGCTTTGAGTGGTTGCTATGACCAGTAAAGTGCTATATGTACCATCCTGCCATTCATACCATTTTCAGTGCTTGTCTGCTGATAAACTCATTTGTCAATGCAAGTGAGGCCTGTAGATTCTTGGACGTAGATCCTTGGATGTTACCCTGGAGTTCTTAAGACTTCCTTGAGTATAACACGTCTTTGCTCTTTGAGTTATTTTTGTTGAAAGAGAGTAACAATGGTGTTGACTTTCTTCCATTATTTAACTATCTGATCACATATTTATGTCACATTTATGCAGAAATACAGAAAATTCTAAAGGTTTCACAAACTTCCTAGCAGCACTGTATCCTGGTATCTGCTGTGCCCTGGGGCAAGGCCTCTCAGACACATTGCCTGAGGGATTCCTTCGATCATTCGCATAAATAGTCTGCTCTCATTTTACATTTCCTGCTCTGCCCACTATAATCACTGCATCACAGCCAAATACCAGCACGTGAGTATTGATCAATGGACTAACTACACTGCTCTGCACAAAGGAGTTAGAAAAATACAGAAGAGAAAACTGGTGCACACAAACACAGCCTGCCTGTCTCTCTCAAACACATATACTGTGAAAGAAACTGAGACCCTCTGAAAGACAAAAATCAATATGCAGAGGTGCACTGTACTCTCACAATGCAGGTGAATTATTGCTCTCAAGAGCAACTTGTGTGCGGCACAGCAAAATGCAGAGTACCCAAGGGAAGCCTTGGGATTAGTCTCAGTGAATACAGGCTGGCAATTAGAGCAGAAGGTAGACTGCAGAATGAATTCACATCAGGGCCTGGCTGTACATTACTCTGGGGAGATAGGGGGAGGAGGGGTGGGGACGATTGGTGGGATAGACCTTGAGGAGAGACTGTAAGCACAATGCATCATGTGTTGATGCTGAAAATAAAAGTCAAATGATGCAGAAAGGCAAACAGAATGACAACTGGGAATGACAGGCAGCACCCTGTGAGAAACAGTGTTGGGTACTCAGATTCTCCCAGGAGCTATTGCTCAAAAATGAAGTAATAAATGCTCTGAATGAACTTGGGAAATAAGTTTAAGGCACTCTGGAGCATCAGCGTCAAGCTACCAAATCTACAGCACCTTGATGTGCAGCATTTGTCATTCTCAATTCTCTTTTCACTTTTCACATTTACACCAGATTCCTTGTCACTCCTAAATGACTGACACCCTTGTTGGCATGTGAAGAGTGAAGACTACCACCTGTCTCCTCAGTTGGCTCTGCAGTCGTCAGCTGGCTCTTTTCACTTCCAGATAAAATTTGAACAGAGAATATCATACTTTTTCCCCAGGATCTTCTCTTCACACTGAACAGATGTGAGATTAACCAGCAGCCTCTCCTGTGCAGAGACAGGGACAAACTCTCTTGTTGGCATCGCACTTGAGAAATAGGCAACTGTGTCCCTGACTGTTTTTGCTTTCGAGGAACTTGGACTAAAGTCTCTGCAGTAATTATTATACCTCAATGTCAAACTGTTACCCTGTGCTCTGTTCCTATTTCTTTTCTTCTTCAGGTAACTCTGTTGTTGTGGAATCAAAGCAACTGATATGGAAAAATTACCTGTCTCTTGGGTGGAGGCTTCAATGTGGGTGTAGCAGTCTGGTTCCTCCAGGCCAGTGGGGGGCAGAACCACTCCACCTCGCTCAGGTAGACAAGGAAGGAGCAATCGGAGCCGTCTACACCATAAAAGGCATAGCAAGGGTCTGAGGTCCAACGAGCGCGCATCCACTGGAAGACAAAGACCCAAACTGTTGTCTCACAAAAATGTCACGTACACTCTCAGGGCATTTATTAAATGGACAGGTCACTCCAAAATCTACAATACATATTTTCCCTCTTACCTGTGGTGCTTTGTATCAATTGAGATTGTTTTGGTGTGAGTTGCCAAGTGTTGGAGATATCAGCCGTAGAGAAGTCTGCCTTCTCTCCAAAATAATGGAACTACATGTCACACGGTTTGTGGTGCTCAAAGCGCCAAAAAAATATATTTGAAAAACTCAACAGCATTGTCTCTTTCCAGAAATCATGACCTGGTTACTCAAGATAATCTTCAGATCATGTTCTGCGCAGTTTCATTTCAGAACTGTTTTCTTTCCTCCAAGCTACACTCGCCAACTGTATCACCGCACAGAAGGAAGCGTGCATCTACCGCTAGCTCACCTAGCACCACTGGCTAGCTAACGTTACACCTCAGTTGCGGAGGACACTATTAATGTTTACATCTCGCACTGTCACAAGCACAAACCCCTTGTCCCTGAGTAGATATACGTTTCCTTCTGCATTGTGATACGGTTGGTAGGTGTAGTTTATCCATCCATCCATCCATCCAACTATCTATCGTCATCCTATTTATCCAGGGCTGGGTGACAGGGGCTGCATTCTGAGCAAAGTTCACCAGGCGTCCCTCTCCCCAGCAACACTTTCCAGCCTCTCCTGGGGGATCCCGAGGCATTCCCAAGCCAAATGAAATATATAATCCCTCCAAGCTGTTCTGGGTCTGCCCAAGGGCCTCCTACCAGCTGGATGTGCCCGGAAAACCTCTAACTGCAGGAGACCAGCAGGCACCCTGATCAGCCTCCTGAACCCACTCACCTGGCCCCTTTGGATGTGAAGGAGCAGCTCCAGGTGTCTCCTCACTCTATCTCTATAAAGAAAACTCATTTCAGCTGCTTGTATCCGTGATCTCATTCTTTCGGTCACTACCCAAAGCTCTTGACTGTAGGTGAGGGTTGGAGCGTACTGTGGGATGTAGTTCAGTAGAGAGAAAATAGTTCCACCATTAAACTGAGTAACCAGGTCATGATTTCTGGAAAGAGACATTGCTGTTGAATTTTGCAAATGTATTTTTTGGTACTTTGAGCACCACAAACTGAGTGCCATTATATTATGTGTTCCATTAACCTGTAGAGAAGGCGGACATCTCTTCGGCTAATATCTTCAACACCCGGCAACTCACACTAAATTAATCTAGATTGATAAATAGCACCACAGGTGAGAGGGGGAACTGTTTCTTTAACTTAAGCAAACCTTTACATTTAACTAAAAGCCTCCCATCATTTTGAAACTGACTGGGCACGCTGCTGTCATCTGTTTCACTCCCACATATTAACCTTATCTTCAATGTGATGCATCTGGTCCCTTATTGTGAAGTACATGCATAGAAAAAACGGTCCTTGGCTTTATTAATAAGATGTTATTTGATGCTCAGATATGCAGCCCAGATAATTGTCAGCATTTCCATAGCTTCCCACTCACAGGTGGAGTCAGCAAAACAGTGCGACGAGGTCATCCAGCTTGCTAACTTGATAAAAGATGTTACACAGAGGGCAGATTTTGTTGGAGACATTCGGGTCAGCTAATTTTCCGACATGCACTGCAAAGAGTGGACGTCCGAGGGGAGGAGGCAGACAGGATACTTGAATAGTAAAGGTGGTGTGGTTTTGTCATAAGGCTGAACTAACATTACGCTGGATGGCTTTCATGAGGTGGTAGGGAGCTGAAGGAACATCCATCTTACTCTCCCTCCAGGGTTTTCCTGACAGAACTTTTTTCTGTTCAAGACCCCCTGAAAGTGTGAGGATATAGTAAAGCAGGTGGCCTGTACATGCAACACTAACTGGACCGCAGTCAAAATTGTACATAATATATGTGTGTAGTGCATTCATGTGGTGTGGACCTGACTGGCATATTTATGGAGGCCTATTTCATGCATAAACATGATGGTGATACAAAGAATAAACAATGGTGTACCTTGAATGTGACTTTTTTTCTACACTTGCTATGTTTATTTATATGTGTGGGTGAAACTTCTTACAGATATACACTGAACAGAAGGTGCATATTTTTCACACGCATGCTAATAGAAAGAAGCACACGTTGGACATGCTGTATTGTTTATACCTGTTTGCACACACTGCAGTTTTCTGCTGTGGATACTACTGCTATCGGCTGTTATTTATAGGATGTATATATGTACCGTATACACAGTGTGTTTATGTGTTTTATTCTTTCCTACATCCTGTTTTTCTTTGTCACCAAGACAACCCAGTTCTGCACAAGCAGCCTTTATACATCCTCGTATCTTATTATAAAAAATTTATGTTGCACCAAGGTGAATCACCAAGAGAGGACAACGGGCTATTTCGCTCTCTGTGTGAAATTGTTTGGGCTTAAGTGAGATATGAAGACTTACATCCATCTTGCTGGGACAGTCTGGATAACGGGGATCTTTAGGAATCTCACATTGTCCTAATGTTCCATCCCTGACTGGAGAAAAGAAGAAAAATACAGGGTATTTATCAAAGCCTATACACACACACGCTCCGACAAAAGCCCACACTCATCAGACACCAGCACAAATCAGCGAAAAGAGCTCCATCGCCTTGTTCTGAAAGCGCACAGACACAAAAGTCAAACACAAAGAGGAAGGTGTTAAAAACATGCCGACAAGGTACATCCAATATGTCTACGGTGTTTTCACACCTTCGGTCGATTAAATTAGAGCATCTTTTCTGTATTTCTGTGAACCTCCATTCCATTGTCTAGACATTCTGTTATTTCATCAAAGTTTAAAGGGGACCTATGATATGTTTTCATATTTTGTGTCTTATATAGGATCACAATGCATGACGTTCATATTAAACATGGCCAAAGTTTCAAATAATGAGGTAAACATATGAAGAAATAAACCCTGTCTACCGTTTTGAACACTCTATGTTTCTAATAGATTCTGTGTTTCTGATCTGGCTTCAACACATCGTCATGGTGTACTAGATTTCTTAATATGGTCATCTGCTTCAGGAACGCTACTTCAAGTCTTAACATTATGTAGCCTACGTAGGAAACTTTTACTGGGGATTTTTCATGGCTGCTGCTCCCTGTTATAGTCAGTCCCCAGCGGCAATGATAGTGCAGAGACACAGAAGACCCGGGAGTGCTGACCCATCAGAGCAGCCTGAGCTTTTTTGATAGGGAGGAGACGGGCGCTAAAACCTGATTTATAGTAGGGTGCTGGACACTTTTGATGAGTGTTGCTGGACAGAAAGTAAACACACGTACGTTGTTCTCAACTTATGCTTCAGTGAAAGGTTTAAAGTCGTCTGCATGGTAACCAGAGACCCCTGCCTTATTAGGTGTATTCACATTGATTGATCAGCTCCTGGTCTATCTGTGACCAGCAGATTCCCCTCACTCACTACAGTGGGTTAGTAAATTAAAATCAATGAATCAATACAGCTGATTTCCTCCCATAGCACTGACTCGAAAAATATTTTGGTTCAGTAAATGTCTGCTGTCAGTCAGCCTGCTGAAGACAGTTTGGCCGGACGCTGTCATCTCAGCTCACCAGGAGCTGTTGCTGACAGACGGCTGCTCCTGTGGACATAGATGTGTAATGCAGGTCGGAGTCGATGTGGGTTGAAAGCTATCTCCATGGCGATGTTAGTAACACTACAATCACATTGTGCAACAAAATATGACGTTGCTCACGACATTACTCAGGTGTGTGTTGAGCATCCCTTTTTTCTGTTGAAAATGCATCATTTCTGTGGAGCAACACTCACCAAGTGTTGAGCGCCTTGCCTTAAATGGGTTTAAAATCTCAGGCAGAGAGTAAATAAAGGTGCTCCAGCACAGATAGTATGAGGAAAAGTAAGTGTTTTCTCGACCATTACGGCATGTAAACATGTTCTAGTAGAAACGTTAAATACAAGTGTGAACCTAAAAATGAGTGTAATAGGTTTCATTTTTTAATCCAACACCCAGCTTCATACAATGTATATGCATTAACAGGCAGAATTATCACTAGCCTTGGATCTCCTAAGATTTAACAGGGCTTATATTGATCAGACAGTTCTTTACAGAGCTTCCCCTGGGCATTAAGTCTGTTTGTCTTTTCGCATTACAGTATATCCTGCCTTTGGGATGAACAGAGATAAATCAGAGAGTAGAGCCAGCTAACAAGCTCACATAAAAGCTTGGCCTCCCCTGCTGAATGGCCAAGTCTCTGTTCCATCCCACTCACTGGATTTACTATAGATAGATTGCATTAGTGTGATTCATAAAAATCATAATCCCCCCAACATCCCACCCCACCCTTCTTCCTCCTCCCTTTTCCTTCTCATCCAATCTTTCCTGTCTCTTTCAGCCGCTCTCACTATTCCCTTTACTCTCTGCCTCTCCTCTCCTTCCTTTTCCCTTTTTTCTCCCCCTTGAAGCCCGGCACTAGTGAGCCTAATTAAAGGAGCAGTTGCAGCTCCTCCGCCAGCATCCTGCCAAGCATCGAAGAGCACAATCACAGACAAATAATTGCCAGCCATTCTGTCTGATTATCATGATAACGGCAGACCTCTCACAATGAAAAGTGCTCCTGCCTGCCGCTGTCAAAACTTAGCCAGGTTCACATTGGCCTTGCTTAAATGATATCAGACGTTATGACAACAGGCAAATTATCTGATACATTTTAATGAGACAGTGAGGTAAATAGTTTTCAGTCACAAAGTCCAATGTAGCGGATACAGGAGTGGAATTGAATTGTGAATTAAATCGCGTTGTCTAATTTCTATTCTGAGCCCAATAAAGAAATTGAGAGTGAAGGCTAATAAAGAAAGCTGACAGGCCTGGATCCCATTACCTAGGCAGTAATTCATCATTGTGATTTAAGCATCCTGCAGCCATGCGCTTATGATATGGCAGCAACAATGGGGCACTGTACTGTGCTGCACAGGCGCTCTTACACCAGGACACAAATAGAGGCTTGCTATTTGAAGGGGTAATGTGCTGTGAATAATGTACGTCATGTTCTATATGATCGACCAGCGAGTCCATGTAAGACATAAATTGTGCATTCAAGTGTTGGGCTGGTTCCAGGCTTGACAGTCGGGCTTATGTGGGCAGAAGGGGAAAAGTGTCTTCAGATTGGATGGATTTGAAACGGACAGGTGGGATTCATCTCAAGGGCCACAGCTATATTTGGTATTCTCCAGGTGTGTGAGTGGGCGGCATGTGTGTGTATGTGTGTATGAAATCGTACCTCTGTTGCTGGCCATGCTGCGCTGTAGGATCTGCTCCACCCTCACCGCCATGTCAGACATGTTCTGGGCGATGGCCTGAATCCGCTCCACCAGCCCTATAGGCTGAATCCTGATCACAAACACACAAAAAGAAAGAGAATATGTTAGAATGACTCCAGCGACAACCATCGTCTAATGACCCAAATTCTCTTCAAACCGCAATCAGCCGCCTTCAAAAGAAAGAGGACATGACACTACAGTATATTTCTTTTATAGCTTCATTCCATCCAGCTGTATTTGTTGTTTTTCCACCCTTCACAGTGAGCGTGAAGCAGTGGAAGAAATGCTAATTCTCTGGAACTTGAGGCGTGAAATCGAAAAAGCTTTTAAAACACTGACAGATAATTTATTTGTTAAGATTAAAAAAAAAGTAGCTCTGCATATTAAAGCAGGTCCCCGGAGGGGAATGAAAACAGAAGACAATTAGGTTGTTAGCAAATGTGTTTCACTGCACTTGACCTCTATGGCCTAAAAGCTGTTGGCAAAACAATTGAGAACCAATATTTACAATGGAGAAGGAGATATGGAGGACAAAGCACAGAGAGAAAACAGACGAATGTTTGCAACATACAGTCTCTGCAGTGTTATAGTTCTAGGAAATTTTGGAAACACGTCTATGAAGAACAGAGCAACAGCAAATTAACTCAAGCTCTGTTCAGCCCAGGACCTCAGTTGTATTGTAAAAGTTTCATCTTACCCCAGAGCCTAAGTTTATCGAAATATATTCCAAGACCTGCAACTGTGTTTGCTTTAAAAGGTGCAAAGACCAAAGGAGAAGAGACAGTTCACCAAATATTATCTTTCTGTGTAAAAATGAACCTTCAAAGGAAAGAGGGCAAACGTTTTAGCATTTGCTGCAACACTTCAGGAATGCACTGCAACTACCTCTTTTAGTGGTTAATAGATTTATGCAGTGAATTATTAAATATTCTTGAGAGAGACCTCTAAGAAACAAAATCCTATTCCTACTGGTGTCCGAAAGAGAAAAGAAAAATAGTTTCAAATTGGATTGTCAGATATTTACTGTATGTGCAGTAGTGTGAAGTTGGTGCAACTCTCTATGAAGCTAGTCGTGCCAGAATCATTATTTTCATTATGACAGATTATTTTCTTAATAATTAACTGATTAATCGTTTGGTCTATAAAATGTCAGCAAATTGTAAAAAATATTCAGATATTCAGTTTACTGTCACAGAAGATTACTTAAAGCTATACTATGCATGATTTTCCTAATAAACAACATACAGACCCTGCCCTCTGTGTTTTCTTATTTTCTTCTTTCTGGGCACAGCGTGCAGGTGAGGCTGGGACTTTATAAAAACCTAGTGATGAGGTGCCAGACCATAAGCAGCATGCCTCCATGAGGCCACTCCAAAAATCAAGGACACAGTGCAGAAACAAATACAATTATAGCATAAAAGAGTGACTCTTTGGTTGGCTTTCACTTTCACTGGTGATAATGTCTACAAACAGGAACTGACAGTTCCAACATACCTTTAAACAGTTAAGTGATTATGAAACTTGTTGCTGATTAATTTCCTGCTCATTGTCTAATTAAGTAAATGGCTTATTGTTGTAGCCCCAGCCACAACTAACAATTATTTTGATTATCAATTGATCTGTTAATTATTGTCTGTCAGGAAATAATGCTTTGTCTGACTGAGTGCTCAAAACTAAGAGCTTTTAATTTACAAAGAAAGGAAATCAGCAGACACTTGAGCTTGATGAATTATTGTTGGTGATTCATTTTCTGTTGATTGACTAATTAATATATCAACAAATGAAATAATTTTTGTAAATGAACACCCCAGAGCTGTGGACAGACTCCAGAGACTACACACCCACCCCTCACACCCTGCTTCACCTACCCAAGGTGTCATAATGGACTTTGTGCAATAACCAGACGGCTGGTATAAAATACAATAAAGACGAGAAAAGTATTAAATTAAAGAAAATATTAAAACATTAGTTATTGAACCTTAGAACTGATTGTATTTGGTGGAACCTATAGCAGCAGCAGCACTAACATAGTCACAAAAACGCTGGATTTATCTAAATGGGCTGATTTTTAACAGCCTATAATCCTAGAATCAGCTTCCAATCATTGTTGTCACATCGTGAGTGACAGGTGTCGTGACAAGCCCCCTTGATTGACTGTCCAGTTCAGCCCAGGCCACTGACTTTTGGCCAATGACAGTGCGTGGAAGTACAGTGAGGGCCTGCCCACTGTTACTGTAGTGGGAGAGTGAGCGTTGAGTCTTGTGAATTGGTTAGCATCATGCTGAACGAGGTGGATTATTTTAAATGCTGTCTGTCGAGCGGGACCTCATCCAAAAATCAGGCCCAAGTAGGGCTGGGCGGTATTTGCGGTGACGGTAACTTACCGCAGTAAACGAGCCATACTGCTTTTGTGGTTACCTTCATACCGCAGTACTCCAGCTACGGCGGCAGAACGGGGCCCGGCGGCTGGCCTGCCTGCCTGCCTCATGCACCTCCCTCCTTACGTGATGGATGTGGCCTGGCCAACCACCCCAAACCCAGGCCCACGGGAGAAGCACTTCCCTCTAACGTTTATACATATTAGCCTATAACGTTTTATACACAATAATAGATGGATTAGCTGGATTAGCTTAACTTCTGACGATAAATAGTTTCCATCCTAGACTTTTTAAATTGTTTTATTCAAAGTGTAAAAAAAAAAAGAGAGAAGACGATACAGTGATATCATACCGTCACCTTATCCCCCAAAATAATACCATGATATTTATTTTAGGCCGTACCACCCAACCCCAGGCCCAAGCCCTAACCTCTTATTAAAGGTGTGTACAGCAGAAAATAGTCAGTGTGTGTGTGTGTGTGTGTGTGTGTGTGTGTGTGAGCGAGCGAGTTAGCCTAATTCTCTAGTTTTGTTGTAGTGCATTGTTGCGGTAACCTGGTACTGTATCTCCGTGTGATGTTACTGCAGCTGAACTATTGATCAGTATAGGCCATGGGCCTAATGCGTTAGCCCTCCCACCCAATTTCACCACGAGCCACTACTGGCAATAACTGTTGTGTTTGGCTGTTTTTATTGCTTTTATTTACTATTTATCGTATGTCTTAAAAATATAGATATGAATGTGTGTGACAATAAATTATCTATCTATCTATCTATCTATTTCATTATGTTCTATTACATGTTAGGCTATATCGTCCTGCAGAGCTGGGGTACCTAGAAGTTGTTCAGTGTTCAGAAAAGAGGTGCAATGATCATCTTATTTTCTTATTGACAGATATTCACACCCAAGTATCTGTACTCAAAAACGTCATTTGCATCTGAGGCAGAATAGCCAATGTGACTGTTTAAACCCACATATATATTCCTTGGCATCCTAGCAACGTTAAAAAAATTACCTAAACATTATGTATTCAGCTATTCTGCTAAAGTTTATGTACACAGTTTATGTACAAACTGAAATAATAAGTCAACTTAGTATAAAAAATTGACGTTGACTCACACAGGACTCAAAGCCCATTTACTGGTGTGAAAGTCCTGTTAAACTGGTGGAAGTCCTTCGCAGTTTGATCCTCGACTCTACACAATTCAACACACATTCAGGTTAACATCCAACATACAGCAAACAAAGGGAAAAGTAAATATTGACCTCAAACTTTTGCACATCAACACATGACCTTAATGATATGTGCTTCCTGCGTAAAAAACAAAACACATTCATCGATGGAGGTAGTGTATCACTGCTCTGTTTTACAAGAAAACAAACGTAAATGAATTATTTTAATGAGCTCTCTTGTTATGTCGTAGTTTTCCAGGAATTTAGATTGCTCATTAAAGAGCTCTGAACACGCAAACTCAGGGAAATAACAAACACCAGTGTAACAGTGGTTCTGAGATCAAGCAGTAAACCTCAGATTTCATTGAGGCAGCATGTATTTCTGTGTGTGTGTCTGCCAGGGGAAAGCAATCTAAGCGCACTTATATGCATAACTTAACATAATCCTAAACTCCAATTTCATTTTTCCATGTGGTGCCCAGGAGGCAAGTGGTAGTCAAGCCCTCTCTACTTTAGACTAGCAGGTCAGCACAAATTAATTGCCAATTACACAGACACACTGACATACAGTACAGTGAAGTCAGCACACACACACACATGCACAGTTATGATTATTATGCAGTGGCACAGAAGCTTTCACTTTGTGCAGACAGACATTTGCGGTCTCACTCAGAACCGTCCCATATTTATACTGCAGGGACTGTGACCCAGGAGAGGCTATCAGCTGTTGAGGAGCAAGAGGACAACCTAATTACTTTTTAAACGAAATACCAGGTGGGCAAAGTTTTTCCTGTCTGAAGATCTCTCACTAATCTCCAGGGTCAGCCCTTGACCTTGAGCCATGCAGAGTTTTTTAATCACCTGAGTGAGGTAAAAAAAAAAAAAAAAACGAAGTCGAGATGTATCAGCGTGAGAAACATTTTTACCACTAAGTCAGTTTTAAAACTATTTGGCCTTTGTCACTGTAACATTTTCCAGTTTAGTCCCTGAGAGGCCAATTAAATGATTGTTAGAACTCTATGACAGAGTTAATCCACAGGGCATTTTGCAGAGAAAATTAAATTCTGGAAGTGTAATATAAAACTGCAGATAAAAATAAATGTATGCAGCTTTTTGGCAGGAATACAATAAATATTTTCCCCCCGACAGGTCAGGTGAGGCGTCACACCTCTTCTGTCATTGTTCATCATTTGCAGTCAGCAGCAGCTCCACACATACTGTTAATTTCAAATACTATTACAGTGCCTTTTAATATATTACCACAGGTGATTATATCATTGTGCGAGGCTCTGTTGAGGTGGAGACATTACCCCGGGTGTGAGGAAGACGGAGGTTATGTCCAGGAGCGAAATGAACTGCAAAGGCAGAAAACAGGAGGGAGCTTCCTCTCCTCAAACCCTGAGCAGGTGCAAGCATGAGGAAAAAGGTCTGTTGCCATGGCAACCGCAGAGCGCACACACACACACACACACACACACACACACACACACACGCACACACACACACACACACACAACTCAGGGTTGGCGGCTTCAACTTGTCCAGCAAGACCCCTGCTCTTCCTCTTTTTTCTTTCTTTTTTATATATATATTTATATGGCAGTCTCTTTCATATTCCCACCTACCCAGGGAGAGGGATGGGGTTTGTTCTAACACATAACATCTCCTTTAACACCAGGTTTCTGCGGCATGAGGCTCTTTTCTCAGCATGGACCTGCTCCGCTGGGATGCCCCAGGGCTCCGCACTTGGCCTTCTTCCTTTCATTGCACTGTCTATCTCTCAGGACTTCTTCAGCCTCCCTGTTTTTATCTTACTATTACTATGCCAATGAAATTCACCTCTGGCACACAGGTTGGAGCTGGAGAACTAGAAAGAATGTTCAGTGGACCACCACAAATTTAACCTTGACAGCTCTGAGCTGCTCACAGCCTATTACAGCAACTCTCTATCACCGCTGACAACACTGCAGCGACCACCTTGAAAACTAGGAAAAAAATGTTTTTAACTTTTTGTCCAAGGTTAGTTTACAGAGTGCTTTTACTGGCAGCTCTCACACTAACAGGACCACATCTGTACAGGCTGTAGCACCTAGATATCCATCAACTACATACATACTATCCAACATGTTCTACTACACACTGAATACTTAATGGCAAGGATAGCTACTGTATCATCAGCAGATTATTGAGATTATTAAAGAGCAAATAAATCACCAGTCTCCACTACAAAATAACATAAATAAACACCAGCCCAATCATAATTACCTTAATCACTTAACTCTCAATCAATAATTTTGAATCAATTTACAATAATGCTGTGTTGACATGTAATCAGGCAGATGGTAGACAGCAGATGGACACCATCTTCTGGACGGCATGGGAAGAACAAACAAACAGTCCAGTGGAATGGTGGGATGATAGAACTAAACATGCACAACAATATGTTGGGATGGTGCCATATTGTTTAAAAAAAACTGAATAAAATAATTTCATGTCCCGGACACGGAACCGTGGACCAACTCTTTACCCTCGCCAGGGTGCTGGATGGGGCATGGGAGTTCGCCCAACCAGTCGACATGTGTTTTGTGTATTTGGAGAAGGCTTACGACCATGTCCCCAGGGGCATCCTGTGGGGGGTGCTCCGGGAGTATGGGGTTGGTGCCCCCTTGCTAAGGGCCATCCAGTCCCTGTACCGAAGGAGCGTGAGTCTGGTTCACATGGCCAGCAGTAAGTCGGACCTGTTCCCGGTGAGGGTTGGACTCCCCCAGGGCTGCCCTTTGTCACCAGTTCATTGTTCATAACTTTCATGGACAGAATTTCTAGGCGCAGCCAAGTGGTGGAGGGTGTCAGGTTCGGTGACGGGAGGATCTCGTCCCTGCTTTTTGCGGATGACGTGGTCCTCATAGCCCCATCGAACAGTGACCTCCAGCTGACGGAAGTGGCTGGGGAGAGGGCTGTCTGGGCTTCTTTGCTGAGACTGCTGCCCCCGCGACCCGGACCCAGATAAGCGGAGGACGAAGAGTACTAGTACGAGACGAGTACGAGAATTTCATGTTTATTATTTGAGTAAGTCAGCCACGAAACCACCAGTTATACAGGCATTTTTTCTCTCAGCAGTGTCAGACACTTAAATATGACAAAAAAGTTTTTCTTAGCATTTTAAGTGTGATACAACCGGGCAAATTCTGCTGATAAAGATCATGTGATGAACAAAAGCTTCAGAGAAGCTTAAAAATGGACCTTGAGGTGAGAATATTTTGTAAACTGTTGTAACCAGGGTCAAGAATGAACTCTAAAGCTCAACCAACAAACTCAACACTTGTAATAATTTGGATGGAGTGGCATGAAATTTTACTCCCTGACCCCCTGGAGTGGTGCCTGAGGTACACACTGACATTAAGGACATAAAAAATTCATCCAAATACACATCACCTCCACCCCGTACCTCCAGGGTACCTCCTCTACTCACTACGCCTGATATGCAGCTTTTAAAAACTGCTCCTTAGGCAGAGCTGAGTGCATTTACTCTAAAAGAATGAGGAGAACACAGTACTTTCTTCACTACTTCTCTACTGCAACTCCCTAATAATCGTGCAGATCTGTGCTGCCTTCCTCTGGGAACTGGGGTCAGCCCTGCCTGTATGACAACATTCTACTGCTGTTTCTAATGTAAAACCATAGACTGAATAAAATAATGGAAACAGCCTGTATGACATTACCCACTGGTTTGTAGACTCCCATTTGAAGCTTTGTTTGCCATTTTGGTTAACGCCATCTTGGATTTTTGGAGCCAGATGCGACCATATTTGGATGACAGGGTGGAGGTAACACCCTTACACTAGCTGCTTGCTTGGTGCATTTAGAGCTATGGTTAACTGTGATAATGCTAATGCTAATTTTCGCTGGCAAAACAGGCTTAAAACCATTGAAACAAAAGGTTCTTGCAGTAAACTAAATATTCAACTCTGTAGAGGGTCTTATAGTGCAACCAATTGCTGCACAAGACTTTTACAGTCAAGCAAAACAACTCTCATGAACTTAAAACACTAAAATAGCGATAGATACAGCTACGAATATACTGTGTGAATCTGGGGTTATGCCATGGTTAAGTTACCTAACCAACGTTGTTGCTGTGGTAGCAACTTGTCAGCGGACGGCAACTACTTGTCACTTAAAGCAGCCATGCCCTAAATTATGCTATATCATTATTATCACTTTTAAAGTGTGAGTTATAGGGCTGCCCCCTAATAGTCAACCAAATGTTAGCCGACCAGAAAGGTCATTAGTCGGCAAGATTTCATTGGTCACTTAGTTGCAGACAAAAGAACATGAAAAAACAAACGTGAAACTCTCTTAGGAGCTGCGCCTTGTCAAAACAAATCAAAACCTTTATGACTGGACCATGCGGGAATTTAATTTGAAAGGACAGACACAGGAAGTGGCCATGCTTAGCAGCCAGACAGGAGTCAGGTTAATTTCCAGGGCTGGTACCTGCGGTTATTCCACAGGCTAGTTAATAACATGTCGGGCAGGAAATCCAAAGTGTGGGATCATTTTGAGAAGGTGACGGACGAACCCAAGGTGATATGTAAACTCATCTTCATTGGTCGACTACAAACATGACGTATCATCTGAAACATGGAAGTAGCTACATGCCCATTAGCAACTTAGCACAATCATTACTGCTTTGCCGACAGTGTCATTAACAGGCAACATTAACAACTCAAACCATTGTGCTGCCCCGCCCAAAATATATAATTTAATAATTAAATTAATATCGTAAACATGTGGGCGACTAGTCGACTAATGGCCCTAAATTATGACTATTGGTTGACTGGGAATATTCTTAGTCAGGGGCAGCCTAGTGAGTTATATAACAGTCCACCCACATACAGTTGTCATGAAGGGGGATTGAGCTACAAAGACCAAAACCATTTCTGTGCCAGGCTGTAAACATGTTTATTTCTGCTGTAAAGTTGGGCATTTTAACACAGGGGTCTGTGGGGATTGACTTAGTTTTGGAGCCAGCCTCAAGTGGCCATTAGAGGAACTGCAGTTTTTGCCATTTCTGCAGTGCCTTCATGTTTCTACCCTGGAGACTTGCGTGTTTAAAAAAACATTACATAGGATCCAAAAAAGGCATTTAAAAACCAAGCTGCTGTACCTGTCCAGGGCTGAGCTGAGCTCATCCAGCCTGTGGGCATCTGTGGTGTTACCCAGTTTAGACAGAGCATCCATCCTCTTCATAATGACCTCCAGCATGTCACTGATTTTCCTCAGCACCCCACGAGATTCTTGCCCACCGAGCACTGAAGAACACACAGACACGTACAGATAGTGTGAGACAAATATTACCAAAGTACATCATAGAGATAGGAGAGGGTTGGGATGAAGAATAAAAGAGATAAAAAGTCATTCTCAACAGAAGAGCAAAGTGAAAGGAGTAAGTGATAAATTAGAATACAAAAAATAAGAGTCAATTTTACGGCAGGGTACAGTGTGTCTCTATAAAAAGTCACATCTTATATAACCACATTTGACTTTAAATATTGCAGCAAACAAGGTCACAGGAACAAAACAAACTGCCTGTTGTTCTGTTTTCAAACACAATATATTCTCCTCTCTGAAATGATTTAGTGCACCAGCAGTTTAAATCCACCGATGTAGCACAGACTCACTCATGGTCACATTTGAAATCCATTTAGTTTATGTTCCATATACCTTGGTCTAGTTTCTACTTTCTTTTGTCCTTTGTTACTAAAGCAGCAGCTCACCGGAGCCAGCTCTGCAGCATACAGACACACACACACACACACACACACACACACACACACACACACACAACACAAGATCAGGCAAATTAGTCTGACAGTATTGGTTTTGTCTTTCTGCTGGGCTCATATTGTTAACGACCTGACAGGTGGTAAAGCAGAAGGATGCTGTTAGCAACACCTAGTCAATTAATGAGCCTGCAGCTACGGACAACAGGGTCAAAGCGGGTCTCAGACTGCATCGAGTCGAGGTCCCAACCCTGCACTGTTTGCTGTGATCACTCGCTCTGCGCTCAATGCACAGTAATTATTAACACTGCTTAAAATCACCAAAGGGTTCATGAAAACACGATTCGTCTTCGGCGAAAAGTCGTTTCTGATGAACAAAATCCAAAAAATCAGGATGACTAATACCACTCTTGGGACTCGGGAGTGAATTATTTGCCGTTTGGACTCCTGAGAGAAATACTAGAAACCAACAACAGCCTCACATTGTTCTTGGAGGCTGAGTGAAAATAAAGGCTCACCTCTCACTGTTCCCTCATCAATTGCATTAGGCTTTAGAAACTGCAATGTGGGCAGACTCACTCCTCCTGTCAGAGTTCATTTATCACTGCCCGAGCGAAAGTCACCTTTCTCTGAAAAGAAATTGTATTACAACACCAGTAAATAAAATAAGCACCGAGAGAAAAAATCACCCACTTCTACCAGTCTGTGTCCATGTGTATGTACTGTTTATGTGTGTGTTGTTGAGGTTTAAATAAAAAAGGAGGAGAGGCACTCAACATCGGGAACAAGGATTACAGAAATCAGTCTAGTGCCCAGATATCCCACTAAATCTCTTCCCTTTATTGCCTGTACATATTTTACTCTTTGGCTTAGCACTGTTTCAGTCATTTCTAGAATATTATCACTCGAACTGGCCTAAAGACGTCTTGCTTTGAATTATTCAGCAGTTAGACAACAATTCTCTCTACCACAGATATGTCTAAATGAATTCCCATTTTGGTTTGCAGCTTAATCGCAGCAGTTTAACAATACATTTAAAAGAAGAGATGATCCTATATTGTCCACACTTTGCCCACTGACACCTGTTGCATGCGACTGCAGGACCAAACCTTAAGCACCAAAATCACCAAAACAATTTTCACCAAATATTTCACCATTCCTCTGCACATTCATTTCAGCGGACTCAAGACTATTTGCCAAGTTCAGACGATCCTCTATCAGCTCCCGTGTACTTGGCAGCACTAAATCCAAACAAAGCCGCTGGGCTGAAGTGTAGGAAGAACTCACATTTCTTCACAGTAATGCTCCTGGCACACATTGTGCTCGTAAATCACCATTACCGAGACCGAACACCCTTCCTACGCAGTACATTTTTAGAACTGAGCCTTATATATGTTTGCAATCAACTGCTCATCAGACTGCTTTTTACTCTTGCTTCCTGCTGCCTCTTGGGAAACGTGGCAAATGTGTTTTTTTTTGTGTCCACTGCACAGTCCGGCACAGGAGCTGATGGTATCTATGTGCTAATGTAGAGCCTCCTCTGTGTCATTCCTCATCTGCTGGTTAATAAAGGGCCGATTTAGCAGCAGCTAATCTCCTTTAACGACTCAATTTCCGAAGTGCCACGGCACAATCGATATTATGAACAAATTCCAATTAGATCGCCATTTGTACTGTAGCCTGCTGTGTGCACTGTGAAACTCTGGCAAAGCAGCTATAAACAACTGTGCTCAGAGAGACTCACTGGCTACATGCACTGCAACACAGACAGACTTCACTGAGTTGACTGCTTTAACAGCATACTAAAATCTCAGCACTGTAGATTGCAGACAGGAAGGACAAATCTAAGTTACTGTTAAATACAGCTCGACTTAATGTCACTCACAGACCCTGTAAACGGTTATATTTGAGAGAAGGCAGACATCTCTACAGTCAATATCTCCAACACTCTGCAGCTCACACCAGAACAATCTATATATGCTGCTAAAAAATGAAGAGAGCACTCAATCATCAAAGTATAACACCAAGTCAGTTAAACTTTAGGAATATCAATCTGTCCTTTTAGGAAGCACAAGTGATTGTAAATCAGTTCCACCTGCTATGATGCAAATGAAAGTGACAACAGGTGCAATGGAGAGGCAAAAACAACACAACCTCCAAAAAGGCAATGGTTTCACATGTGGTGGCCACAGACAGTTGCTCTCTCTTTATCCTTCCTGGCTGATTCTTCTATAGTTTTGTGTTCTGCTACCAGGTTGCACAGGTAGTCCAGCTAGTCCAGGATGGCACATCGATACATGCAGTCGCAAGAAGGTTTGCTGTGTCTCCCAGCACAGTCTCAACAGCATGGAGGAGATACCAGGGGACCAGCTGTTTCGCCAGGAGAGCTGGACAGGGCCGTAGGAGGGCAACAACCCAACAACAGGACCGGTATCTGCTCCTTTGTGTAAGGAGGAACAGGAGCATTGCCCTACAAAATGACCTCCAGCAGGCTGCTAGTGTAAAAGTTTCGAACCAGAAAAACAAACTCCATGAGGATGGCTTGAGGACCCGACGTCCTCTAGTGGGACCTGTGCTCACAGCCCAGCACTGTGCAGCTCGATTGGCATTCGCCAGAAAACACCAGAATTGGCAGGTCCCCCATTGGTGCCCCATTCTCTTCACAGATGAGCAGGTTCACACTTAGCACATGTGACAGGCGTGAAAGAGTCTGGTGAATGTTATGCTGTGTGTGACATCATCCAGCATGACCGGTTTGGCGGTGGATCAGTGATGGTCTGGGAAGGCATATCCTTAGAGGGTCGCACAGACCTGTGTCATAGCCAATGGTACCCTGACTGCTGTTAGGTACCAGGATGAAATCCTCAGAGTGATTATACTGGTGGAGTGGGCCCTGGGTTCCTCCTGGTGCAGTGGTGTGTAGGCAGTTCCTGGATGACAAAGGCATTGATGCCATTGATTCTCCCTCTTGTTCCCCTGACCTTAATCCAACTAAGCACCTTTGGGACGCCACCAAGTACCGCCACAGACTGTCCAGGAGCTCACTGATGCCCTGATACAGGTCTGGGAGGAGATCCCCCAGGACACCATCCACCAACTCAGGAGCATGCCCAGACATTGTTGGGAGTGCATACAGGCACACGGGGACCATACACACTACCGAGTCACATTAAGAGCTGCAGTGATAAAATTCCTACAAGTTGGATCAGCCTGTGATTTCAATTTGTTTACTTTGATTTTCGGTGTGATGAATCCAGCCCTCGGTGGGTTGATGATTTTGGTTTCCATTGACCGTTGTTACGTCATTTTGTTCTCAACAAATTATATAATGTATATCAGTAAAGATTTTCAACTTGAATAATTCATTCATCAAGATCTGATGTGTGATTTAAGTGCTCCCTTATTTTTTTTGTAGTACTACAGATAAGGGCCAAGATATGATTTTTTGATTTTGGGTTGAACTGTCCCTTTAAAACCTTTCAAAAGACAATGCACTGTGTAGTCAACCCCAAAACAGCGATTTTCATTGACTTTCAGATTATTCTTGCAATGTCATGGCCACAGCCTTTTACCTGTCTTATTTGGCTGCAAGCTAATAATTCCCCCTTCTCAGACCCCACCATTCTCCCATCCTCACATTGTCACACCTGCTCCTAACTTTCTCATCAGCCCCACAGTAAACAGTATGTACCTGCCCTCTAGCCGTAGTACCCCACCAGACCGTCTATTGTGCCATCCCTGTCACAACGGTGGGTGTGAGGCAACAAGGAGAAGGAGCCCAGAAAATTTAGGGATTTATTTATTGACAAAGTGAAGGTATATACT